TGCTGTAAATAAAACAGTCTAGAAATCCGGGCAACCTCCAGATGAGCAAGATCTTTCAAGGCTTGAGAGAAGGTGGAACTTACTGCTGCTAAGAACAGATAATTAGCTCTTTGCTGCTGTACTTTGCAGTGAATGCATGACTGGTAAGGACTGATGTCTTTTAATTAAGTATAGGATGACACTGAATGACAGTGCTTTAGGCAACTAAACATTAGCATGAAGGGTGTTATTAATAAATGGTCAGTCTAAAAGCTGTAAAACTCACTTATTAATCAGTTATCTTAAGACTCTGACCATGCTGTGCAGACACTAATACTCAGTGTGAACACCCAGAGAGATGCTGATCTGGAGTAGAGCTTCCAGAAATGCTAATTTTGTCCCTGCATGGATGTTGAGTCTGACCTGGAGCAGCCATTCCCACAGAGGGACACGTTGTCCCATTCCTCTCACAGACCCCAGTGGCACACAGGTACTTCAGTGGGGAGACCTGACTGCCTCGGAAAACACCATCCTGTTGCACTGTGACCTCTCCGAAAAGTTTCTACCGCTAAAATGTATCAATGTACAAAATCCTAGGTTTTACCCTTGCTAGGAGTAAACAAACTTGTGTGTTTCTTTCTCCAAAGACAATGCATTAACAGAGGTCTAAGTAACAGTTAAAGTGTAATTTAAAATGGCAGTAATTTAAGAAAGATGACAGCTCCATTAGCCAAATCGCAGCTTGTACCCACACACACGCATGTGAAATTACATCAAATCCGTTAGAGAAGTCTGTTTTACGAAAGTATTAGACACACCAATCCCACCTTTATTCGTTCTGGAGGTATAAGACGCGAAGGCAAGTACGGGCGAGAAGAAAATGTGTTCCGGAAATCCAGCGCTCGTAGAAGCTGTTCCTGTTGAAGTGCAGAGAAAAACAAACCCTATTACGAGTCTTCACATGCAATGATAACATTTTATGCTGATTTAATAATTTCTGTGGAGCTGAGGCTATGAAACCCTCTCCTTGTTCGGGAGGATCCCCGGGCCGCCCCGTTCCCGAGCAAGGAGACAACCCTGGCGCGGCCCAAGGGATGCTCCCCGGGACGGCGCAGGGATGAAAGACAGCTCTCCCGTCCCCAGAGGCACTGCCCACCTCATACCCGGTAGGCACTGACGACGAAGGCGACCCGCTGGCGGGTGGTCTCCGGCGGCTGGAGCGGGTGGGCGGCCGCGGGGAGCGCCGCTTCGTACAGATACTCGGAGCCGCAAGGAGAGAGCAGCAAGCGGGACCCCCCCGCGTAGTGCACCTCCACCGAGTCGTCCCCGAACAGCACCATCAGCCTTTCCGCCTCCATTGCACCGGAGGCCGAGCCCGCACCGCGGACGCTGCTCGGGCCGAAGCGGCTGAGGCGGCCGCGCCACCGCACGGCGGGAACCTCGGGGCGGGACGAGCGCCCCAACTCCTGCCCGAGCTCCGCCCGGAGCTCCTGCCGAGCTCCGCCTGAATTCCAGCCAGAGCGCCGCCCAAACTTCTGCCGAATCCCCGCCGAACTCCGCCCGAGCTTCTCCTGAGCTCCTCCCCAGCTCATTATGTCCGTGAGGTTACCGCGCCTTCCTGCTCTCTCATGGTGGGTGAGCGCATTCGATACACACCTCTGTAAAATAAGCTTGAAAGAACTGTACACGGCGTCTTTGTGATTTTTTTTTAAAATAAGTTTTAAAATTTGCTGAAAACGGGGAGGGGGGTGAGGATGTGGGGCTTTTTTTGCTACTCCGGAAATAAAAGCAGTACAACTGTGCCTCTCCAAAAGGCACCTCGTTCAGCAGGTGCCCCGCTGCAGAGCAGGGCTCCCCACAGAACTGCTTCTCCTGCATCCCTATGCAGCCAGCACACAGCTCAGCAACTGGGCATTCGCTCCTCCCTCCCCGCAGCAGCACCTCTGGAAAATCAGGAGGTAGTCTGCCTATCTACAACATAGCCCGGAGACACACTACAGATAGATAATTCTCTGGTGACAGCTCCTTTTCGTTCACTCATTCACTCAGGGCAGGGTGAGCCAACACACAGCTCTGTACCTAGAACTGGGCAGTAGAAGCCCTATCTGAACAGAGAGAAAGACCAAGATGCCAAAGGACAATTTTAATACGATGCCTAGTTGCCTTTTTCTGACTATTGTATACACCATCCATCCCCCACCAATAGTTACAGTTTAACCCAAGCTGTTTCAAGTGGATTGATAGTTCATAGCTAAGTGACAATTATTATCAACCCCCACTCCCAGCACTTAGAAAATGCAATTGAACATCCACACTAGTCCATATGGTCTCTCTTAACTGCAACGATTGTCCATTACCTGCTTGGGGAAGTACAGGTTTCTTAGATTAGTGCTATCATGGATTGAGTGCATTCAGTACAATTTTCCATTCTCAACAGCTGTTGTCTCAGCATAGATCAACACCCAGTCAAGTGGCTGCTGACACAGCCATACATCAAAATAACCTGGTTCTAGTCACAATACCCCTTTTTAATGAGTATTATTCTATTCAGTACTTGCCCGAAGCAAGTTTCCAAGTATATATTGGGATTATGAATGAGTTATGAATATTGTTATTTATGGATGATGCATTATATTTTGCTGGCAATTTCACTGCTCTGGTTGGAGCCCTCAGCATAGGAACTGTGAAAGTAGGTCACCCAGGCTGAAGTAGAGGTGGCAAACCAGTAGTTCAGGGTACAGTGTAGCATCTTCCCTGAGTTTTGGCTGGAATGTAATTTTCTGTTCCTGTATCAACTAATGATCCACAGACATCAGCTGGATGACTGGAACTATAATTCAGTCAGAGAGAAGTTGCAAACTTGAGCTGTCAGTAATTCAACGAGTTGTGTGTAGTAGGAAGGAAAGGCAGAATATGATAAGGAAGTAATGTCCCAGTGAGAAATAAAGATTACTAGTACAAACCTGACCAAGTGTCACTGACATTCAGCACCACAACTAAGTATTGTCCTGAAAAAAAATCCTGCCTATGTGCAGTTTGTGATACCTGTGATAACTGATGTGGCTGGGCCAATCTTGCTTCTCTTTAGTGGTACAATTATTCTAAAACTCAACAGTTGAAATGCAGTGACCTCATCTGTTAAAAAAAAAAAAAAAAAAAAGCCAAAGTAGCAAGAACTTTGCAGATTTAAAATAAAAATACTGAGAACAAGCTGACTTCATTTCTGGATATGAAAATCACTGACCAGCAAAGCACATGCAAAGCAACAACTCTTGCAGCCCATTTTGAAATACTTTAAACAAAGTGTGATTTTCAAGTACAAAACATTTTTGCTTAATCATAATTAATTTATCAAGAGTGGGAAATAGCATGCATATTTTTATTGATCCGCAAAGCTTGGGTCTCATGCTCAAATTCAAATGTGAAGTCTGTTTCTTTTCAGAACCAGTGCTAAAGAACCTCGCTTCACATCTCCCCCAAATTTTGCTTTCCATGCCTTCACACTGATTTACCCTTACGCCATTAAGAAAATACATCTTTTAAAAAGGTTGTACATTTGCAAGGCATTGTTCAGAAACCTGTAGATGAGAAACACTTTTACACTTTTATAGTGCATTTGAAATTCGTAAATGCTAAAATTCAGGTGAAATAACCTTTAAACCTCTCATGACTCTTACTTTATCATAGGCAGAACAATGGGTGATTAAGAGTGGGCTGACAAGCAGCAGACAAGGGAATCTTGGCAGTGAGAAACCTGCTGCTTTCTTTTGCTCTCTCATATTCGCTAGCTATGAAGTAGTATATTGAAGTATATTGAAGTTCTGTGAGTTTTAAGACAAGTGGGAAACACTTCAGTGTTTCACAAAAAGATTATCCTGTTTTCCTTATGCAGCAGGACAAAGTTAAAAACATTTTTCCCTGCTGCAGTGAAGACTGAAAGCACTTAAAAAGTTCATATTTAAAGACCATAAACTTCTACATTAGTTTGAACAAAAGTCTCACATTACAATTTTTAGTATTTCCAGTGGAGGAAAAAACTTGTATTACAAACTTGACCTGAGCTGCTCTCTATAGATACAATTCCTAGCATCCTAATATCCTAGTTCCTGGATTTTTTTTTTATCCAGTGATTTGGTATGGTTCTTATCTACTCATAAAATTACTGTTTCTACAAGCTGACTGTACATCTGGAACTGACAGCTACCTTACAGAAAAAGAAGACTCATGAAAAATCATGCAAACTAAAACATGTAAAGTGCAGTCCTTCCAAGGAATGCTTGTTCCTTGGGACTTTAAATTCTGAATAAATATAATTTCCACAAGACATCTGCTTGTAAAGCCAGCAGAAAGTCTGACCTGTATTTAAAGTTTTGTATGAAAATTATGCTCAACTTAAGAGAATATGTATTTGAAAGTAATCTAGTTTTCATATTTCTAGTTTCTGAATTTTAGTCTAAAGACTTTGGAATGCTAATACAGTCTTTATGAACATACTGCATTTTGATACATTTCATTTTTCCAGCAAGAATCAAAAGATAATTGTCTCTGGAACTGTGTACTTTGGAGAAAGGAATGCTCAGTGAAGGAGAAGCAGAAGAAAATAAAAAAACTGTTTTTGTTTTAAAGCAAGAAGACAAGGTAGTGATATTATACCAAAGGAAATAAAGCTAGTTAAATTTTATTTTCCAAAACTCCGGCCTAAATAAGTATGTTAAATAAACATCCAGAAAACAGTCACTGCTTACTCTACTAGCAGATGCACAACTTATTTAACCAAACAAATAACAGTGAAATATTATCAGAATTATTTACATGCATATTTACAATGCGTGTTCTTTAGAGTAGCTAACTGTTGGGAAATACTTGTGTTTGTTTTTGGTAAGGATTTCTACTCAAGTCTAACCAGCAACAGGTAACAGGAAACAGTTCAACTGAGTTTGGCAACAACAACAATGGAGTATCCTAGGAAAACTAACATGATTATATGGAGTCAAAAAAAAGAGCAGTTGGCTTCAGAATGCTAACATTTATGAAATATATGAATTTACTCCAACTACAAAATTAAATCAAACTACATAAAATTGGAAGATTAAAAGAAAGTTACAAAGTTGCAAAAGGTTAGACAAGTTAGATACATTACTAGAAAAAAAAGAAAAAAAAAGCACTGCACATACTCTTGGTTTAGATGCATGGTTTAGAACATAACCGTATTACTACTGCCTTGAAGAACACAACAAATTACAGAATAGCTTTTTCTTGCAGATCTGAAAATAAGCTTATCTGAACCAAAGATCTTGAAAGCACCTCACTTCCAAAATACTGCTTGCTTTTTCACATATCGACATGTAACATATTTATTCCAGGAAAAAAGAAAAGTCCAGACCTCACCCATGTGTTTTGAAAGAAGAAAAAGGAAATGAACAAAACAAAAACTCATACACAAAACTTTCACAAGCCACTTTTCATGATTGTGATATACAGAAAAAAATTTCTTTCTTTTTTGGATTGTACTCTTCTTGTGGGGGGAAGTGGAGGAAGTAAATGCAAGATATATTGTATATGGTAAATAGGATGAGTAAATCCCAATATATACTAAAGCAAACAAGCAAGCAAATTCAGATCATTATTCTTTCCCTTTCTTCCTCAAGGGAAGTTTTAAGGGACAGTTCCCCATTAAATTTTAATTTCAATTATAATTTTTAAATAATTTTTATTGCAGCCAAAACATTGTTCAAAAAACATTTTTCACAAAATAAACTATGATATATACACAACATTTTAAGTTACAGGGCATAAGTTTACAATTTTTGGCAGATTCTGTTAAACAAAATGGAAATTGTGTAACTTTAGTACTTGGAGAAACTCAAGTTTCTCATTTTGGTACAAATGTTTTGTGTCCCCCTTCACTCTAAGCATACCTAAAGTGGTTAAATAAACTAACATTAATACATAACATCTCACTGTTTTCTCTTATGTTCTGATTCTAGACAGAATTTTTCATATGCTTCTTCAATTTCTGGGTCCATCTCATCATCAATCTCATCAAAATACCTGAGGGGGAAAAAAAATCACCAAAGGTGTTAAGTTTACAGATTTTCAGAACCAACAGATTTTTAGAATCTGTGCAGATGTCAGGAATAAAACAAAGCTTTATAAATGACTTATTTATGACGTTTTCTTAAAGGGAATGAAAAAGAAAAAATAATAGGTACTAGGAAAACAAATAAACAGAAACCTCAAAGCAGCATAGGTATGTATAAATATGTATAGATACATATTGTAGTATATGTATAGATACATATAGATATGTATAAATACCTACAGTGTTTGCCACCTTTTTAGATCACTCTGCCCAATTTAAAAGACGAAAATAGTTTCTAAGATGACAGAAAATGTAATCATGCAATCTAAGCTTCCCAAAGTTAAATAATACATCTGTACTGATCAATTTACAAAAAAACATAATTACTAACATATTAGTGTAATTTTGATTGGTCAACATCCTAATTCAAAGACAGAATACATTAATACAGAAACCCTGCATTCCTATTTGTTGATATGTAAAAGAAGGCCACAGAAAATGTGTAAGCAAAAGTTTTTTTCCTTCAAAAAGTTGTGCATTGAGGAAGCAGTCTACATATTTCTCATTGGTTAGTTCATTCCTGTTGAAGTGTAGCCTTCAGAAGAAAGAACCCTCCTCCCTGATGTCAGCCATGAGAAACAGCTGACAAAGAATCAGCAGACTGGCTGTCTAAGCTTTTCTTAAGCCTTCAACAAAGAAGGTTACAGTCACCTTGCTTGAAGGTTGACTCAGAGTGTTCTATACGTCACTCATAGGATTTGCTATGTTTTTTATCTGCTGTCTGTCTCCAGTTTGTACTTTTCTTCTAAGCAGAGGTTCACCTGCATCTTTTTTTTTCCCTTCAGTATGAGCTTATTGATTTCTGATGACATTTCTGATATATCTTCCAAGGTTCTTGACATTCCCCTCAGCTAGGTACAAACTGAAAGTTTTCTAATTTACTTAAAAAATACTGGTCCAGGCCTGCACTATTATCACACATAGAAACAACACTGAGAATGTTCTTCTGTGTCAAATCACGGTCTGGAAGTCTTCTGAGCATAAAGTTTAGAGCAATTTATTTTAGACCATATTTCTTCTATTTATTTTACATATTTCTTTCTTATAAAGTGGTGCCAAAAAGCCAGACTATATTCTCACCTATTGCTTCCCCTTTTGCCATTAGGCTGCTTTCCTTGCTTTACAGGAAGTCTGAGTAGCCCTCTAAGTGAAGGGAATAGTACTTAGGCTGAGGAGAGAAAGTTAACACTTCCTCCCTTTGAAAGATACTAGAAATTTGGTAATCATCACTTGCTGGGATGTTCATGCACATCAGTCAAAAAATTAAGGTTGCCTCACTACAAACACTTGAAGGCTTGGTGCTTCATTTTGCTTGCAAATTTTTTTTTTTCTTAAATGCAGAAGTATGTTTGTACATGTGCACAACATCTGAAATGTAATTACCATACTCAGAAAAAAAAACCCCCATGATATAGGTTTCAAACTTGAGTGATTAAAAACCTATTTAAACCCAAACAAATATATTCACTGTAGAACTAAGTAACAATTACATTATTTAGTTTCATTTTTGTCAGCATTTGGATCCTAAGTCTGCACTATCACAATATCACAGTAAAAATTACTATTATTAAAAAAAGTCACTAAAAAAGAAAACATACAGTTCTCCAGGTCCTGTCAGATCTGCTCCATTTTCTTCATAATATGGAAACAAATCCTCTCTTTCAAGCAGCTCTTGGTATTTTTCTTGATAATCTGGCAAAGTAAAAATGACACTGAGTAATATACAAGACTAGTCCTCTAAATTAACAGAAATATATAAAGTTTGGAAATTGTCTGGTTAACAGAACCATAAAAGGCAGGAAACATATTAACAGGAAAAGCTCCTTCTGCAGTGTTTTCTCAGGACATGAATGGATGTCTCGGAATGATGCCTAACTTCCCATAGAACTGTAAAGGTAGTGACAGATCTCTTTACCTCAAATGACATTATGCTGCACTGTGCTGATTACAGGTAAAGAAACCAAAGATTTTGATTTGATTTTGATACTAACAATGGACAAACAAAAGAAGATTTGAATATTTCTGACTTTCTGGAAAGACCAAATGCTGTGGACTACTGAACAAGTTCTTCTGACCTATATGAACTCAAATGCACATTTTCCATTTCAAATATCTACATTCTTTAGCACAGAATAAATCATGTGCTCCACCAAAACAGGAATTCAGGCAGAATTTTGTCTTTTAAGTTGTATAGGTTTTAGATTCTTGAAGAATAACATATTATGTTCTTCAACAGGCCATAAACTTAATTACAATCTTTTAAAGACGATTGAGAAAATGGGTAAGATAAACTTGTGCCATACCTGGGTCTGCTGCAGTGAAAGGAACACCATCAGAAGTGTAAAATGTTGGTTCATTCTAAAAATAAAGTCATACAGAAAGTTACATGTATTCAGAGAGAAAGAGGTTTGTAGTTTTGAGTAATGCAATTCTCTATGAATCAAACCAAATTTGCATGAAATTAAGGAACTGAAATGTCCATATATTCTTACCATAAAGTAGTTTGGGTCATTTTCAGGGGTAGCTTCTGCATGTGGAGTTGTCCCATGAACTCTACCCCAGTTACTAGATCGCAGTTCTACTAGTTTCAGGAGCATGTGTTTCACATCTCTGAAATAGAGAAGCATTATAGAAGTTAGAATGTTTTGTGCAAAGCAGGAAATTTGGCTTCTCTTACTGTGCAAATACAAGATAGTTAAATCCATCCAAAAGAAACAAGTTCAAGAAGGACAATATTTGGTCCAGTGTGTAGATAAATTTGAATTCAATCTTACAACTGCAAGTATTGATGCTTTATGTGTCAGTTATGAGATATTCACCCTCTCCACTTCCTCTGCTGTTAAGTAAGGAGCTCATATGAAAAAGAAAATTGCTGTAGTTTTTATTGAGATACCACACCTTGCAGTACAAGTTGAAGAAAAATTCCTTTTTTGTAAAAGGATAATACTGGGAACAAAAAGGGAGAATGTATCCAAATTTTATTTTAATTATGCATTCTAAGCTCCTAACTTTAGTCCTCTTCATCAAAGTGAAATGTTTTAGTCAAAGGGAAGAAGTAATGCCCCAGTACATCAGATACCAACACCCATTTTATCCCTAAAATAAGAGAAAATGCCTTCTTCTTTTAAGCTAGTCTGTGGAAAAGAATACTTAAACAAATAAAATTTTCCCAGCTGAAACTGACTTTTGCCTTTTTTTCTTTCATATATTCTCTATATTCTTTACATATATACTTGTAGCTCTGTAATCTACTACAGTATTTGCCCTGTAACCTACTACAGTATTTGCAGCTAGTATTTTATCTACTCTGCTAGACAGAAAGACAAAACAAATTCCTCAGTGGCTCCAAGCTGGTGGTCCAAGGTTAGCTTCTCAGGGAAGCCAAGGTTGAAACCAGCTCTCCCAGACACATTTTCATAAATAAAGTTTAGTTCCTATCTTAAGTGGGGGAGGAATTCAGGAAGGGTTGCCACGGGGGGGAATTACCTCACCACTTATGTCTTTACCTGGGGATCCCTGTCAGTTAGGCTAATTTGCTAAACGTACAGAAATTGTATACGTGTTAGGCTGGGTGTGCATCTTTGGTACTTTTCCACCTAGTGAGTTGTGCACCTAAGGATCCTTATAAGGATAACCCCTTTTTGCCACCTAACTGTGTCTGGCTTGTGATTATAGGACCAGTGAAAAGTCATCAGAATTAGTCTGTTGTTCTGTATCTTTGAAGCCTCAGCCCTAGCCACCTATTTTGGTTTCTGAAGCAAAAATTTCCTCATCCTCATCCTGGGGGCAGCTCAATTTCAAGATGTTATGAGCTACTCTTGGCCTCCCTCCATATGGATAAATATTAGTGTCTGAGCCCTCTACAGGTTTTTAGTAAATTTGCAAGAAGTTGAGGATGAAGCACAGCAGAATCAGATAACCTCACATACACAAATGGTTTTATGACGATTTTATAATTAGTCAGCCACTAATACGTTACTAATATGTTACATTAGTCAACCACACATTTTTTTCCAGATTAAAGCTAAGACTGTGCCAAAAAGGTGTGCTCTCCAGAAAACAAACAAACATCAAACCACGAAGTGTATTTCATTTTGCCTTTACATTTATAGTAATTTGTATGTATTTAATACTGCTACGTATTTAGTACTGTTTGTATGTATTTAATCCTGTTCAATTAAAAATAAAAAGTATATAAACTATGAGAGATTGCTCCTATTTTCTCTTTGTATATACTTGTTTTAAGTGCCTAAAGCACTTACCACAGATATCAAGATGTAATAGGTTAAAAAACTTAACCAAACAGTGGAACTTGAATCTCTATTAAAAACTAAAATACAAAAAACGCACCCCCCCAAAAAAAAAAAAAATCAACCCAACTGCCAAAAAACCCACATTATCCTTTAGCTGAAAAACACATTTTCATTTTTTTTACATGGAAAATTACCTACACATCACATTAATTTTCATAAATATAAGTTTTAAAGATAATCTTTTGGACCTGTTCATTATAGTTGAAGATTTCTCAAGGTGTTCTTTTTCATATAAACAAAACCCTGCACATAAGCTTATCTTCTCACCTGCTACAGTTTGCATCCAACACAACATTTTCAATTCTCTGAATCATTTCCTCCATATCATTCTTTCCTTTTTCTTTCCAGGCATCTTCTAAAACAGAACCTGTCAACTAAGGACAAGGGATTAGTATTTTTTTTAAAGAAAATTAGAAATCCTTAATAAACAATCAATTTAAGAGATTCTGTAACAATTCATGACTCTTGGACTACCTGATGGCTGATGTTCCCAGCTCCCTGTATCTCTTTGCTAAACAGATTAACAGATCTCAGGAATAGTATATTTTAAACTTCAAACAGTATAGGAGTTCTATGTCCAATATTTATGTTACCTAGAAGTTCATAGCCACTTGTTTTAGTCTTGAAATATTATTTCAAAACATCTCTTCAGTGACATTGGTCAGATCTTACTTGATTTAAGAACATACTACCATCCTTTATTTCCTTTAAATCTTATTTTTGCAGCTGATTCTACCAGTTTGCATGAAAGCAGCAAATACTTTATAGAACTTTAAAAACACTTCAGTCAACTTGGCCAGAATCACACATGCCAGAGAATTTCATCAGGTTATATATAAAGGAGACCAGAATTATCTGAAGAAGCCAACCTGAACGTTAGTACATAAAATTCTGTGAGGCTAAAGCTGCTGCCAAGAGAGCTTTAGCAGTAGTCAGTCTAGAACACCTATAGATGAAAGACTTTTACTACAAGAGTAGGTACTTAGTTGCCCAAATATTGCAAGAGGAGTTAAATCAGAAAAAAATCGGAAAAAAAAAAATATTTTGCCTCTAATAGCAATCTCCTCAGCATAAATATTACATAATCAAAACTGCTTGGAATGGCACTTGATGATGCAAAAGGATAAAATCCCAAGAGAAAAGCAAGCGTATTGGTCAGCATTTGCTTGGCTTTCATAGTATTCCAGTGGTCTTACCTTAATCCTGGATAATTAGTTAAAAGCATCAAGATTAATTAAATATAAACATATTGCACAGTAAACAGAGAAAAACCTGTATCTATCACTGTATTAAACAGAAAAGATAAAATGAGACATTTATTGCTTCAGTAGTGAAACCAAAGTTTCATGAGGTAGCCCAGTCTAGCTACATATACATTCAACATTTGTAGATAGTGTAAAATACCAGGAAACACTTGTAAGAAAAAAGAGTCTCTTTATTCTGTAACACCTTTTAGATAGAGCAGTGTGTCAGAAAACAATTTAGATTACTGATTTTCTTCTTCTTCTTTACTTCACTGTAAAGTTTCTTAATTTGTGTATTGATGCTTAGAAAGGATCTTCAGTGGGCCTTGCCTCAGGGAAGTGCTGTCAACATAAGGGCTGACCACAGGAGTGAATGTGCTCATTGAGCATAGTCTCACACTTGCTGTAAAGCAACCTCCTTAAACACCCAAGCTTCAAATTAAGGTTTTAAATTACAAAAATCTCTCTTCCCTACTCTCTGTTCACGATATCAAAAGAAGCTGTCAGAAATTAAATTCAAGATAGAACAGTCTGAGAAGCAGTGGAGCATGAAGAAGGGTAAAAAATGAAGAAAAACAAACAAGCCAACCAAAAATCTTCAGAAAAATACTGTTTAGCACTTGACCTTCATTCTTAATTTAAACTGTTTTCCCAACTACAAGTATAATGATACCTAGTGAAGATAAGAGTTTCTCCTGCTTAGAGGATAACCATTTTACAAGAAAAGATATAGATTATGAGCAAAGAGATTTATTTTCAACATGAAAGGGAAATCTATGTATTTCTACAATATAATGACACAGACAACACAGAATGAAGTAATGGATATTAAGAACCTTTTGCCACAAAAAGTGGTGTACCCTTAAACATCCTTCAGAGCACAGAGCATACCTAAGGTCTCACAAATCATTCAGACTGGTTAGTTTTCTCCCACACCAGAAGTAGCAAAGATCTAGAGGAAGCATTTACTCCTTTGCATCTTAACTTCAGTTCTATTGCTCATTTGTACACAAATGGCCTTAAATTTATTTTTAGAGCATATTGTTACTTTTTTTACTGTCTCAATTTCCTAATGGTTCTAAGGAAAACAAAAGTAGTTTTCTCTGTCAATGCTGTAATGTATAAACCCCATATAAATACTTCCTCATTTGCATTTTATCCTACTATTCCCTATATTAAAGCTAGACACTTTAAAGAACTTAATCTTTTTTTCTTTTAAAACTACTGTCTCACCTTCAGCAGTTTCACTGCACATATCAAATTACTGTCCACAGGATTAGAGAAGAGTGCATTCAGTAATTCCCGAAGGCCTTCTTGAAGAATTTCTGCCCGTGTAACCTGTCCCTTTGTTCCTTTAATCTGCAAAACATATACAAAACCCCCCAACATTTAAAAGACTTAAGTTTTAGGAATTAATTCAGGCACATTTTCTCTCTTGAATGCTGTATGATTTGGTTTGGTAATGAACATAGCTGACCTCTATATGCCAAATACTGTAACCATTTTAGAACATAGACTTCCATGGAATCATAAAAGGGTTTGGGTTGGAAGGGACCTTACACACCATCTAGGTCATCACCTACCTCAATCTGCTGACCATACATCTTCTGATGCATGTTATGTTGAAGTCCTCATTCACCAACACCCAAAACCCTTCTCAGCAGAGCTGCTCCTGACTGATTCTCCACCCAGCCTGTATTTGTGCCTAGTCCAGATAAGTACTTTGCACTTGACCTTGTTTGCATGGTCCCACCTCCCAAGCCTGTCTTGGTCCCTTCAGGGTGGCATTACTTCCCTCCAGCATGTTGACTGCACAACACAGCTCGGTGTCAGCAGAAAACTGACTAATGTACTCAGAATTCTGACATAGCAATGAGTGTCATATTTTGCTTCTCTGCTAACAAATTGCTAAGAAAAGCTATCAAATGCCTGCCTAATGATCCAAAAAATACCAAATTCACAGAACCTCATGCTCTTTTCCACACTGCATTACGTATTCTCTACAGAAGTGGTAGCTTAGTTCTAGAAGGCAGTCTTTACATAAATTAAAAAATTACAGGAACTGGTTTGAAACCAAAAGGTAAAATCCAAGGTAAATGGTATACTCCACAAATGGACAATTTCCCCTGTTCCAAAGTATTTGAAAATCTTCCTTTTTTCTTCTGCAAAGTTAAAAGTAGAGTTCAAGGACCACTTACAGTCCATAAATCAAAGTCAGAGAAGGATTTTCCTCATGCCTGCAGAACATTTTTATACTGTTTGCTTAAATCAAACCACTGAAATAGGCAAGTCAAATTTATATGTTCAACTACACTACAGCAGGAAGTGAACTTGGTAAATGCACAGGTATAAAAATACAAAAAATTTGTACATATTTTTGTACATATCACAGATACAAGAAAACAAATCAAAATACAAGATTGCATGCTTCATGCATGAGCTAATGACTCCAGGAGAAATAACTTTAAAAGTCTGGATTTTTAATACCTCATTTTGCAGGTTTTCACATCTGCCTCAAGGGTTTGTTAACACCTCTTATTTGTACCTGCATACTGAATTACATGTGTTATTGATCCTGATCTGCTTCTGCTAGGCATTTAACAACATTTAATATGTTGGTTAAGTATAACCATCTGGGAATTTTGCTAGTAAAAGAAAATACTCAAAACATCTTCATTCACAACCAACAGTGGTTGGTTCTTTCCAAAAATTCTTACACTTTGATTTTTATACATTTCTTTTCCAATGATCTTGTCCGTTTTTGTTTATACGTTTATACGTATAAAATCCAATTTTAAATACAATCCTACTTTAAAGTTCTTTTACTTTACTGCCCTCTGCCTTTAGAGAAACACCTCAAACTATGGTCCATTTCAGTGTTTACTTACACACAACAAAAAATTTATGAAAAGCTGTGTGACACCCAACTTTCTTCTTACCTCTAGGTTAAGATAAAGTTCAGCTAAGAACAGCACAAAGGCATGAAATTGTTTTCTAGTAGTCTCATCCCCTTTGGTAGCTTCATCTCTGTTTTCATACTCGGTTCGACACCTGTAAAAATTAAAACATGATTATAACATCTGTAGCCATTCTAACATACGTAACATACTACTCATTTAAAGGAATGCTGAGAACTTATGAACTGCATGAAGACTGTTACATGCTGAATGCTGGCATGTATGATCTGTGAAGGGAATGAGAGACCTTCAGAAAGGAACAGTGGATTTGCATCCATTCAGAGGCACACATATGATTACATGATTATGTCTTTAAGCACTGAGATATCTGACGCAGAAAAACTAAATAGAACAACTTACAACATACAGAAATTAATACGGTAACACAATTTATACAATTGAATATGAGTCCAGGATGTGCAACAGTAACACAGACAGCCAGTGCCTAAAGAAATGAAGTAGACATGTTCCCCTCTTCAGAGTGGAAGAATTTGTTTCTCTCTGTTTCCACATTGTCTTAGATGCTGTTACACTCATTTGATAAACTCTTTATCTTTCCATGTTAAGTGACAGTGATACATAATTCATGACTCCCAGCTGAGTGGTGTTAAGTGACACTGTAGAGGGACCCTGACAGACTTGAGAGGTGGCCCTGACAGACTTGAGAGGTGGCCCTGTGCAACTCATGAAGTTCAACATGGCAAAGTGTAAGGTTCTGCATATATGCCAGGGCAATCCCAAGCATCAAGAACAGCTTAGGCAGGGAAGTGCTTGGCAACAGTCCTGATAAGAAGGACTTGGGGTGTTGTGTGATGAGAAGACCAATGTGACAGTGCATGCTTGAAGCTCAGAAAGCCAATTGTGTCCTGTATCCACAGCAGTTTGGGCAGCAGGTGAGTGAGGGTATTCTGTTCCTCTGCTCTGCTCTGGTGAGACCCACCTGGAGCACTGCATCCAGAGCTGGGGTCCTCTGAACAGGGAGGACACAGACATATTGAGTGAGACCAGAGGAGGCCAAGTTCACCAGAGGACCTGAGCATCTCTCCTATGGGCACAGGCTGAGAGAGCTGGGACTGCTCAGCTGGGAGAAGAGAAGGCATTGGTGACACCTTATAGCACCTTGCAGTACCTAAAAGGGGCCCACAAGAGGGTGGGAGAAGAGCTTTTCACAGGGGTGTGCAGTGACAGGACAAAGGGAAATACTTCAAACTAACAGAGGACAGGTTTAGATTAGATACTAGGAAGAAATTTTATACTGTGCGGGTGGTGAGGCACAGAGACAGGCTGCCCATAGAAGCTGTGGATGCCCCATCCCTGTTTTTAAAGCCAGGCTGTATGGGGCTCTGAACAAACTGGTCTAGCGGAAGGTTCCCTGCCCATGGCAGAGGGGTTTGGAAGTAGATGAATCTTAAGGTCCCTTCCAATCCAAATAGTTCTATGATTCTGTAACTTTAATATAAATACAAAACACAAGATTAACATACTATGGCAGTGAAGTTAATTTTTTCTAATATTTAGCAACTGCCAAAAATACACATGTTTACATAACAGTACAAAAGCAAAATTAAAAAATATTTGAGATAAAAGGAAACCTAGACAAATTTTAATGTATTCTGAATGACTGTGCAATGGATTGAGAAACAGTGGAGAAACTGAATTATCTAAAGAGCTGAAATACAAAATTTCATGTTTGAAACTTCATTGAGAAATAGAAGACGATCTCTCTGTGGTCATCTTTTAGGTCAATTATTAGGTTGTTTATCTACACTCTCCCTGCTCCCAATTTCATCCATATTAGCATGCAAAACATAAGCAACTTTAAATTTATGGCTTCAGAGTGCTAACATTAATGTTATCCATTGGGTTTGCTTCAAAACAGAGAGCCAGAAAATGCAATATTAACAGGAATTGCCTTTCATATTCAAGTAACACAGTTAAAAAAAATCATAAGCAATAACTTTGAAAGAAAAAAGAACAACAAAACAACAACAACAAAACATTGGGAGAAAAAATAGTATTTTCAGCTTCTGCATGCCCTGGTTTTAGCTGGTGCTTCACAGTGTTTACAATACATCAAGGACTCTTCTGCTTTTCCCTCCACCCACGAGGAGCCTGGTTTGAAGATGAGGGGAGACACAGCTGACCCCATGCTGACCACACAGGTATTCCATCCCATGTGGCCTCATGCTCAGGATATAAACCAGGGAGAAAGCTGCCTGGGGGCCACTGCTCACGAACAGTCTGGTCAACGTGGGCAGTGAGCAATTGCATGGTGTGCCTCTTGTTTAGTATATGCTAATTATTTTATCACTGTTATTATATTCTCATCCTTTTCTGTCCTAATAACACATCTTTATCTCCACTCATGACTTTTACTTTTTCTGCTCCAAATTTTCTTGCCTATCTCATTGGGAGGGTGGGGAAAGTGAGTGAGGGGCTGCAAGCTGTTTAGCTACCTGTCAGGTTAAACCACAACGTTCCACTTATGACAAAAGACCATTGGAATGCCCTACAGTAAAAGTTTATCACACTTTTACTAGACTAAGTAAAAACTTTTCACATAAGAGGCAAACTTGAAACTTATAAAGCCAGAGGTCTTTAAACAAATAATAAAAGGCAAATTTCTAAAGAATTCTGAAGTGTCAAAGAGTATTCCTCCAAATGTCATGCAGTAATATTTGAAAGGATATATAACAATTTAATAATGTTGCGCTTTTGTCATATACGAAGCCTAATCATTATTAAGCTAAGGTCCCCAGAAACCTGCAGTAACTGAAACTGAAGAAATTTATCCTTTATATATCTGTTTCATAGATACAAAGTCAGTTAGCCAATCAGTGAATAAACCTTACATTCCAGGCAAAAAACAAAAGCACTAAAGAAAAAAAACCATAATGAAGTAAGTACTGTCAAGTGTCAAAGGGCAAGGACAGTACCTATATGTGCATTTAGTATACTTATAAAGTAGATTAACTTTCCAATTTGCACTATTTTGGGGATCAGACTAATATACTCAGTTCAAAAGATCTCCAAATCTTTTTTGAACTTCAAATGGAGTACTATTTTTATATTTAAAAGTATTAAAATATTTTAAATTGCATGTGTTCAATACTCAGCATGTACCTGTGTTTTGATACTCCTAAACCTATACTATTTTAAGTAAGTATCTTTGTATGCAACAAGAGGAGTTAACACACAACCCAGAAAGATGTAACTGAAGAGAATAACAGGCTTAAAGTGACTGATACTGACCTTTGAAGCAGTAACTGTCGGAAGTTCCCACTTTGTGGACTAATGGTTAGATGGTGAGATAGATAGTTACACAACCGTGCTCCCATGTACGAAAAATTTGGGACAGATGTGGCCTTCCAAAATAAAAAGGGAAAAATTAATTAATTATAAAACTAATGATTAGGCTATCAGGAAATATTTTAAAAGCTTTTTTGAAATCTATGCTTAATGTTGATAAGACAACTCAAGACCAGAAAATCAATGATTATTTATTACTATTTGCCATGTTTGCTTTTGTATTGCTTCAACATTTTACTATATTCATTTCAGCAAAACTTAAAAGTTCATTATATTGTGATTCTGTGGCTCTAAAAAAGCAACCACCATTATACCATGTGTCTTCATGTAACTCTACTTCCACACTGTGACCTACAATTAAGGGGTATCTCAAAGTCTAACAATGGACATTAAAACACTTTTTCAAGGACACATACTCTCTCAAGGAACAATGAGTACATTTAAACATCATAAAAAGTTGTCTTCTTTCAGTCTATAAGTTATTTATTCCATAATCTCTTTTTGCCATGGTTAATACACAGGGAAAGAGTGTAAGAATATGGCAAGTAAAGAGAAACAATTTCTCCCATACATGCTCCATAGCAATCTGCAGAATAGTAAACTTCTGAATTGGAGAGTAAGACATTACAATTAACAGCTCTTGATGGATCCTTTTTTTCTAAAACAAGTCCTGTTACTGCTGAACATCTATACCTTTGTCATCTAAAAAAAGGTTATAGGAATTGTGTAAAAAATCTTTTGATTTAATCTGATAATTCAAAATTTAAAGAGGTGACAATTTATTACTGTTCACAAATTTTCAAGCCTACTGTAAAAACACCTGAATTTCAGATTATTTCTGAGATGCAGTTTCAGTGAAAACAGGTTCTGCTGCAAATAACTTCACCAGCTCTGCTCAAAAGAAAATGAGGATACTAAGAACTCAGTAAATTTCTACCTTTTGCTTTATAATCTTTGAACATTACTTTTACATCTTGATCATCTATCAGTGCTATAGATATGTTTGCATATTTGAACTGTTCCAACATGTTTGAAAAAAAAGTCTTGCTAATGCAATTATACCTAGCTACCTCTTACAGGTATAGAAAAATATGCAGTTAATATAATTTGACCATGTGCACACAATTGCTGGAAACAAACTAAGTGTCTTTGGAAGATACAACAAGTTTAAATGATTAAGATAGACAAACTTTCCAGTAAGAGGCTTGTGAACTTCCTGAAAAGACTTTGATGCTTTGGTCCAATCAGTTGCTCTGACTAGAGGAGGTACCCCTTTTTTTATAAGGCGACCCTTTTTAACACCTTTTTGTAACAAAAAAACCCAAAACAACAAACAACAAAACAAAACCCAATGCAACAAACCCCCAGCGAACAAAAACTTTTAATACCAAACACCTACACTTATTCTTCAAACCTCATTTGTATTTTTTAAACACTATCTTTCTTATTAGTTGGTCTGTACTTGTGGTTGCACCAAACATTGAAATAATGAAATTTAGGTATTATGATCTGGTGTAGCACACCCAGATTTAAAAAAAAACCACAAAAAAACCCCAACACCCTATATCTTCCTAATAATCAATCATCACATTGCAAAATCATATTCCTGGAACAGTTATTGCTGGTAATGCCACTTTACCTCCAATTCAAAAAAGTTACAATCTCAGCATGAAGGCTAATCTACCAACATATCTTGAGAAACTAGTTGCTCTAACAGGAACAATCCACTACATTAGACAACAGCCAAGGTTCTTAAACTATGAAGTTGGTCCAACTTTTGGAAGACAAAAGAACTGGCACTTCACTGTGTTCAGACATAAGTAGGATTTTCAAAATTATAATAATTCGGAGGGAGGGGGTCTACATTCTTTCATCCCAAGGGAGGCTCCTGCTCTCCCTAGCAGACACCTGTCTTCTAGAACCAAGACACTATATAATTAATATTTACAGACAGGCTAAGACACCTTAGTGGTATTATTCCCTTATATATTCCCTTGGAGGTGCAGGGAAGACTCTACAGGACTTGTGTTTACTTAATTTCAGTATATTTCCTTTACAAACCCACCATCAGTAAATCTACTTAGTCGGGTCAAATTTGTATCACTGAAGCAGATGCATATAATTTCAGGAATTTTCATTGTTTTGTGAAAAGCCAGGAGACAAGTACTTGAGCCTTTGCTCAAGACTGAAGAATAGTAAGCATAGTTGGCTTTGCTTAAACACTATGCTAGCCTGACACATAACATATCTAAAATTAGATGCTTTTGGATACTAGCATAGCTTTTTGGCATTAAGCTTTATTCTTAATGTAATTTCAGACTAACATTGAGCTTCTCAGTTGAGAAAGTCACAGTAAACCCTAACACTGAACTTGTTTTTAAAGGGGGCAGAGAGGAAGAGGCAACATTAAAGACTTAAATGAGAATTAATGTATTTAAAATTCAGGAGGTTAAAACCAGCATAAAATCTTTTTTTTTTTTTCCTTCCAATAAATTTACACGGGATATTTTAATCTCTTTCTAAACTATCCTGCATGGGTTCAAATAAAGAATGGGAAAATTATGCTGCCAAATGCAGCACAGGTGATCATCATGTCTAACTAAACTGGTCTCAATTAAATTTGCATTAATTCTGTATAATAATGAGAAACCTGAGACTCTACACTTCTGTACAATGACCAACCAGTCATTCCACTTCTACATACACCAGACGAAAATATTCTGCAGATATCTGCAGTTGAATAAAAGTCTGCAAGGTAGAATTTGAAAGTAAGAAACCTGTGAGAGAGACACCCAACACAATAGAGAGCAAGACAGAAACATGGCTTCATTCTCTGCAGAGAGCCCAAAAGACAGTAACAACTCATTTGCTAAGCAACACGTATCAAGCTATTCTTTCCAATGGCTCCCCCAATTAGTACAGAGTTCAGCTCAAGGTCTCTGTCCTCATTTTCATGACCATCAATGGGACTAGGCCTAGTTACCCTTAGAGGAGCTTTCCTTTTCTCCATTTATACTGTTCTGAAATAGGTATATTTCAATTAAAGAAAAAAGTCTGGCAATAAAGAAGCATTTCCCAAAAGTGTGTGAACTTTAGGTATGAATTAAATTTTTTTAAAGTATCTAGGAACTAAAAAGTATCTTTGGACTATGAAGACTTTTTTTCTTTTTGCACAAGAGAATAAAAGTATTCAACATTGTATAAGTTTCTTCAATCTTTGCTATACAAATACAGAAATTAAAATATAACTTCCTTTAAGTAAGTGCTGTAATTTCAACTGCAGTACATTACCCAGGAGATAAAAACAAAGGAAACAGAGCAAACTGGAAAATGTGTACAATTCAGGCATCCCAAATCTGGCTACCATTTCAATTTACTGAGCAAAATCCTTCCCTATATATTTCAGTCTAAAAGGGAAAAATACCAAATCATTAACATACCACATTCTTACAATTATGTAACAAATACTGGAATGCCTGTCTTGGACACTGGGTAACAGAGACATAATGTCCATCTTGTAAGACAGAATACATTACCTGCTGATAGATGAGTTCAACAAGTTCTTGTAAAGCTTCATCTGCAATGACCCAGCCATTCAGTGTTTCAGCAAATTGCTCTATTTCTGTTTCAAAACAACCTGGTTGCTCCATAAGGTGATTTAGGAAGTCTTGTACATATTCTGCCAGAGTCAGATAGCCATCACATCTATCTTCGAAGGAAGAATCCTATAGAAGTGAAAGAATAAACCAACAAATTAAAAACAACCTTGAATAATTGTTATACCTTTTGTCTCCGGAAATAACCATACAGCCCTTAGTTTTGAATATCTGCATACTTGATAGAGATCTTTATTATACAGTTCACTTTAACACTTTTACAGAGCACAGATCTCAACACCTCCTGGAGTGTTGACCTCAGAAACCCCCTGTAGTCCAATCACCTTAAGAACCAGGCAAAGTATTTTTACAGACACTAGGGTCTCCCAGTAAAATACATAAAAAGATGGATTAAAGAGAAATAAGTTTCATAAGCTGGTTGCAAGATTAACTAATAAACAAATTAAGTTTATCTGTTAAGGGTGGAACTACCAAACTGAGGCTCAACACCCATTCCTGGTGTGGAGACTAACTGTATTGTGGATTTATTAACTGTAAAAGGAAAAAGAATGGAAAATTTGAAACTAAGTATTTTTGACTTGGATAGTGTGTATAGTGCTCCAAAAATATGCAGAAGATAGAGTAATTAGAGAAATACAATAAATACATAGTATTGTTCCCATGTAAAGAGTATAATCAGAAAAAGTGATATTTTAAAATCTTGGCAAAAGATGGAAGATTACGAGGCATGAAATTCAAATGGAATTGCATTAATTTACAGCTACTGAGGTTTAAAACCAGACAATACAGTAAACACACTTGCTCTCTAAAGAGACGAGAAAGTACCCAGTATCACTCTATTGATATTTATGCTCCCACTGATGGAACTGAAGAACACTGATTTTGTCCATTCAGAAATGAATCTATGTGGGAGTATCTAAAGTCAATACAGTTCCACATAATTATAATGCTGGTATATGAGTGGAATAGCAAAGAAAGCAGCATACTTTGTGATGTCACTAGTAGAAACACAGTACAAATAAATCACTTTGTCACACTACACAGAAGATTTTGTAAAAGACCTCATAGATTTCAGATGTGCAAGGAGCCTGAAGAGGCACTTTTAAAAAAATGACTTACAATTAGCAATTCAAGATATAAGTGTAACATAAAGAAAATCAGAACTCTCAACTGTTCTACCATTTAAAAATGTTTAAAGGACATCTATAGTAAAACTGAGCTAAAATGATAAAGCACTTTCTCTTTACTTAGTGTACATAAATATATCAACAAGGATTATAACTAAATTCTCCCACTCCCTCTTCTACCCCTTAATAAGGGATTTTTTCATTACTTTGTCTTCAAAATGTCTGTCTCTCCTCCACTGAGAAGCAATATGGATCTGTGAAAATTTTCTGGCTGGGTATGAACTATGAGAAAGACAGATACATGTTGAAAATCACATCCTGGTATTAATTTCATGACTTGTGAAGAATGTGTGGGTAAAAAAAGCAGAGTTTCCAAAATCATTCAGACACGTCATAAGTTAGTGAGGTGGGGCACACATCAGTGTAACAGAAGTAAAACTAGAAAGATTTCCTATGATATTTAATTAAGTAGAACATATGTCAGTTAATAACACTAAAGACTAAATAACTTAATGTTGCCCCACCAGAAATAGGAAAAAACATGGGTTTATGGAAATAGAAGCAAATTGTTATTACATAAATCCTATTACATCCTGAGGATTGGAGCATGGGCACTTCAGAGGTCCTTTCTATTATTCCCAATGATTTCTATGATTCTAATGGCTTGAAGCTTACAAGTCCAAAAACAGGCTAACAGGCCTGTATATGACTTGCTACATAACCTGCTTCACTAAAGGAAATCAACATTTATAATGTTCAAACAGCCCAGTAGGAGTTCCACACAATATATTTAAAACTACTTTGTTTTACAGAACTATTACATTACTGGGCAGCTACTGCAGCTTAATCACACACAGCTGAACTAGCAACTCTCCAAACAACCTGCCTGACTCCAGCCAGGCTGCAGAGCATGCGAGTGCTGTAGCTGGTAAAAGAAGCTGCTCCTTCTGACAGCCATCAGATTGTTACAAGATCCTCAGCAGAGAAGAAGGTATCTTCCTCTCACACTCACTTGGCAAGAATCCAGTCTTAGAGAACATCCTTGTTTGTAAGGGATCCCGGTACCATTTGGTGTACTGGTGTCCCTGTTGTATACACTTATTTCCAGTTCATAATTAAGAGGCTACACACAGAGAACTAAATTCTGTACCATATTCATCTAGTTGTATTAAATATGCAACTTCAAAAGTCTCAGTTTCAGTAACTATGCCAAGGAACTGAACAGGAGAATAAAATGAGTAATTTGGAAATTCAGAAATATACAACTTTATTATTTATATTTGATACTTTAAAAACTAACTAAATTTAACCCATATCATTGATCTGATTTTTCTTCAGACTTCTTAGGAACAAGCTTTTTTTCCCTTCAGTTATATGAACTCAGCAAATTTTCAACCAAGTTATTGGTTGAAATAACCCAAGTACCAAAAGACTGTTGCATATACAAAACCACCTATGCATGCTGCATGAGGTTAAGTGGTACTCTCATACTCGGTCTTCTCATGGAAATGACTGAAGTTAAAAAAGAAAAAAACAGGAGGGAAGGATTGTGGAACCCTAAAATAAGAAAAATCTCACTCCTAAAGCTATGAAGTAAGAATGTCATTATGACTATCTGATGGAGTGACAGCCATATTATTACCATACAGACATGCCAAGGAACAAATCTGATGTTTCCTACTGGCAATCCAAACCTCCCTAGTCACTAGTTCTGCTGCAGACATCTAAAATTTCCAATGGGTTGGACTCTGTATGCAAACAGAGAATTCCCTTCTCTGGCCTCTCTCAGGCCTTTCTTCAAAGTCCTGGTAAAGTTTTTCTGAAAATTCTAGTAAACCTTGTAAGCTGTACTCCTTAAACCATCTTCCTGGGTAATTGATTGTTTTGAGCATCAAAAAATGGAAAGATTGGAAATTAACTGTCCCAATATCAAATGTTACATGGACAGACACAGTACTTATAATGGTACACAATCGAACAAGGAATCAACACTACTCTTAAAATAATTTTTTTTTTTGCTATAGCAAAACATCTGTATTTTATGAGAGAAATACAATATTTCAGATCAATAAATTCAGGGATCTTAATAAATGAAAGCTGAAAATTACTAATTTTAAGTAAAAAAAAAAGTTTCTCAAAACTTTGCTTTGATTCAAATTTTAAAACTCATGGTCTAAATCAGTGTAACTGTAAAGTGTGTTAAATTTCTCATTTTTATTACAACTGAGCCCAATTTATAAAATTCCTTCAGTTACTAAACTAAAAAAACAACAGATTTTGTAATAGTGAAGGATGAAAGAAAAATACCACTGTTTTATGTGTATCATATTCTCATTAAAGTCCCTGCAAATGTTTTGCTAACGTTTTTAGAGGTATTTTTATTAATAGATGAGTCACATTCATAGCCTATTCCAACAACATAGCAACCAGGAACTCCCACATGCTTGTGTGTTTTTGCAAAACAGCTGAAAAGCAACATTGTTGGCACTGAAACTTTGCAGTTTTAAGAGTGCACTATGTATGCTATTCTAAAGGTTGTTTGGGTTTTTTTCTTTGTCTTGAAACTGAAACACTTATTTATAGAAAACATGTAACCAGTGCTTGGGCAAAGTAGTTTTTTTTTCCCTCTAGATGATCGATTCACCAAAGCAGGTTCACATTAGCATTGTCAACAGTTTTATATTGGCTGTGGGCTTTATTATTCATGAAAATAATTACAATCAGTTAACAGGCAAAGCTGGTAACACTGAGGTAACATCAATTTTACTGGTGAGGAAAAGACTTCAAAATACACCACCATATTTAGCATTCAAATGAAGTATTTTCCTACCAGTTATTAAAAATCTATTTGATTCAGCATCCTTTTTTTTTTTTTATCACTTGACTGTATTTGTAAAAGTTCCCACCTGTTTAGATATAGTACCAGAGTTTGACTGCTTGCATAACAAAAGGATATTCCAAGAATTCACAGAGATCATCCCTGGACTAGCATTACTGAAGCAGTAACACGGAAGACAATGGAGTAGAAAATAGAAGTACCAGCTTTTATTACATGATGCATCTACAAACTGATCTGAGTCTGGCTGGAAATACATTTCTTATTAGGTGTGTGGGTAGGTAACTGCTAGGAATGAGTCTAATACTTTTTTTTTTGCCCTTTGGTGATACAACACCACTGAAGGAATTAGGACACAAGATGGTACACTAGCTTAGGCAGTCACAATGAGTGGTACCTGTGGCACAGGAAATTCAGGAAAGGCAAAGCCTGTGGTCAGAAAAGCTAAAGTTCAAGCTTTCTCCCGTGCTTTCTTGAAAAACCTGTGAATTCTTTAACACTTAAGGTATGCTTTCAATTAAGATGCAGTATAAATGTAACTACAACAGAAAAGCCAGGTTTCTCTCACGTTGGATTTAACCAGTCGTGGTGTAGTCAAAAAGGAATGTGGCTATCTGCAGCAAGCTTTGGCAAAATATCCAACAGCAGAGGCTCTCACGTACATCCTGGCTGTAACTCTGGAGGTTATCATCAGAATTTTTGCAATCTCATCATCAAATACAAAATTCAAAGTATCTGACATAAAAGATCTCAAGAAAACATTATTAATTTGAATACAAGTAAATTGGCACATACTGAGGAAGGAAGTTAAAACACTCACCGTGAAATTCTGGTTGAAGTTCTGGTTGTATCCTGGTGGATAAAATTCAGGTGCTTTAACAGACAAGTTTGATGTTGCTACAGGGTCCACAGCTAACTGAGGTTCAGCCATTCCTGGTCCAGAATCAAGAACTGAAACTTTATCTTGTGATCCAGATGGAATTCCTGTCTTTTGCAGGTGTTCTGAAAAATTTTTGTTAACACTTATCTTAGAAATCACCAAATTAATATGTGTTCACACAGAGTAAACACAGAATACATTTTTCTTTTATTTAAAGTACGATTTTACTATAAATATATTTCCTTTAAATGCATAGGCTTACTTTAAATACATAGGTTTTATTGTTTATTCTTAAGTAAGGATACTCATTCAAGCACACTCTAGATGTCTTTCTACATGATAGAAAGTAAAGAGTGTTCATGTGCAGGTGCCCCCCCCCAAAAAAGAAGGTAAAAAACCCCTTTCTTCCATGTAAACACATTTTTTAAGAGTTAACCTAAGTAACTAGTAAATCTGCTTATAGTACATTTGATTATCCTGTGATTTTTCATAGATTTTAGATACAAATACAAGATACATTTGGAAGGTCAGTAAATGACAGACATCACTAATTTTTACCAATGTTTATTTTCAACAAAATGCTCAAGGACACTCGGTTACTATTGTTCTTATATACCATTTGCTAAAACATCCAACTGAAGTGTTTTTAAAACACTATTTTCTAAACCTCTCTTTACAGAGTAGCTCATAAGTTTATTGGAAAGAGAACCTGATACCTACCTGAAAAAAGCTGACCAACAAACATTGCTTTGTGTTACTGTTGGGTTGGGTTAGTTTTTTTGCAAATAGGCTAGAATTCTTCAGTAGGGGGAAGGCTGAGACCATCTGCAGTCAGATTAACAGATGGATAAAAAGCACACTCAGATGTGGGGGCACAAAAGGGGGGAAAAGACAGAAAGTATTGCAAGCAGATGCAATACAACATCACACCTTTACCTGGTCCAGGTCCATAACCCCATATGCTGATTTCAGCTGGGACAGAGTTAATTTTCTTCTTGCTAGCTGGCATAGCACTATGTTTCGGATTCAGTATGAGGCAAGTGTCAATAACACACATTTCCCATGCTCTGATGGTGAGCAGATGCACAAGAAGCAAGAAGGCAGCAAAGACCAGACAGCTGACCCGAACTGGCCAGAGGGATAATCCATACAAGAGAATGTGACGTTCAGTATATAAACTGTAGGGGAGTTGGCCAGGAGTTGTCAATTGTTGCTGGGGGTCAGGCTGGGCATCGGTCAGCAGGTGGTGAGCGACTGCACCGCGCATCACATGATTCTCTCTGGTTTTCTCCCTCTCGCCCCTCTAGTCACCCTGCTGTCCGCCAGCCCCCAGAGCTCACCACGCTGACCCGGCCTCAGCGCGGTGCACGCAGCGCACACCCGGGAACAGGACCACGTTCCCGAGGGCAGATGCCGGTGACCCTGCGGCG